TATTATGGATGGATATTATGGTATATATAGTTATACACATATACCTCGCAGATTGGTTATTGATAATTGTGTGTAAAATATTTTATATCATTTCGATATATAATTAAGTATTCTATATGTCTTATATTTAAGTACGCAAACAATTTGCCAAGGGTTCTTGATATATGATGATCGCTAGTTTTTTTTTCTGTTCATAATAAATTCTTGAATCGAACTTATAATATATAATATAGAATTCAAGTTTTCACGTTATCTCGTAGTTTCTCAATCGTTACGTTGATCTTCTGAGTGTATATTTGATGTTCCTTACAGGTAGTAATAATGTTGTACATTGGGCTCTATAATGCTCTCCAGCTTCTTAATGTTAATGTTCAGCTGAAATTTTTTATTAGTTTGAAAGTTTCGTATGTTTTTAATGCCAACACTATTAATAGGGGGGAATTATCTTTTTATTTCGTATATAAAAATTTCCATATTACACTGAATGACCTCTAGAAAATCATATATAGTACACTAAACAATACTAAATAAACTAGAAAATAATAAAATGTACTTAAAATACAATATTAACACAAAATATATATATATAGATAATTATCACGAGAACCATATTATCGTTCGACTTATTAGCTAAAATACAACATATCAAATTATAAGCTTATCCTAGATTATTTGTCAATTATAGCCACATATAGATAGGAGAGGATAGATAGATAGATATTTAGATAGATTAGGAGATAGATAGGCTATGATAGAAGCAAGAACAATTACAAATTGAATAGATATGACTTAAATCGATAATAGGTACTCATTCTTCAGTGATCGGTCTTTTGACCTCGTTACACACTGTCCTTTGTCGCCTAATCATACTCATCGAGTAAAATTGACCTATTATAGGCTACTATAACCCAGACAATAAAATTTCATTGGCTTGGACTAGTTGGTGGCGCTCGCTTCTAAGGATACTAGATATTTTTTCTCTTGTTACGCTCGCACGTGAATGGTGCCTCTTCGACATACCATCCAATTAGGTAGAGATTGACGCTAGATTGGGTTAAAGGATATAATTGCTGAACCTTACAAGATATTGAAGAGTGGCAAAAGGTCGCCCGTTGAACACCAGTTGATAGAGCACATTGAAGAAGGGCGGTCATATTCTATAGACATTGGATCTAAAGTTTTAACTATCGGAATTCAAGTTTGGATTTGTATGGTGGCTGTTTGAGAAAGGGCGTAGATTTATAGTAGCGTACTCCGCATAAAGTGCCAGTGATCATGGAGGGATGAGATAATAATGGACTTGATGGCGTGGCGCTAGTCATAATCGCCATTCTATCAATCCGGTCCTCGGGGTTTATATTTTAATTATTTATTCTAAATTCTGTTTGTGGTAAAGGAAGTGCATGGTTGTTGTTGCGACTTTGTGGTAGAAGAAGTTGCTGTATTTTGGTATAAAGTGCTTCGCCATATTGTGATTTATAGTTTATGGCTGGTTTTGATTTCTATGTAGTTTCATTAAATGAGCCGTTCATTGGATTGTGACTAGATTATTTATGTATGATGTGCTGGTTTATTTGTGATTTATTAGTTGGTGTGGGGTGTACCAAACGATGTGTATTTCGTAATTACAATTGAAATTGCTATTAGACCTTCATACCATATTTTCATAATGCCATGTTATTGGAAACGTTAGCATTCCATCTCAACACGAAACCAGTGTTAACCTCGTTCAATTTGGACCATTTTCACTTTTTCGCACATGTATAGGATTACCATTATACTTTGTGTAGTAGCTCTCCATGATGAATGGATACCATAAGATTTTAATCACAAGCGTAAAGAATTTCTTCTCAGCTACCATTTATATAGATAAAAGGATATTCTAGCACCATAATTTCATTCATCATGGAGGAAATACTCAGCTAAGTTTACTAATATGCAAGTTTTGTTAATTGTTATTTGTACTCTTGATTACATGCACACAGCTTCCTCGTCCGGATTCAGGAATATGGACTATATATAAGTCCAGTGAGTAAAGATCTAATTCCAAGGCAGATGTTTATATATATATATATATATATATATATATATATATATATATATATATATATATATATATATATATATATATATATATGTATACATATATATATATATATGAATATATATATAATATATATATATATATATATATATATATATGTAAAAAAAAAAAATATATATATATATAATATATATATATATATATATATATATATATATATATATATATATTATATATATATATATATATATATATATATATATAATATATATAATATATATATATATATATATATATATATAATATATATATATATATATATATACATATATATATATAATATATATATATATATATATATATATATATATATATATATATATTATATATATATATATATATATATATATATATATATATATATATTATATATATATATATATATATATATTATACATATACATATATATACATACATGTATATTTATATATATGTATGTATATATATATATATATATATATATATATATATATATATAATATATATATATATATATATATATATATATATATATATATATAATATATTTATATATATATATAATATATATATATATATATATATATATGTATATATGTATATATATATATATATATATATATATATATATATATATATATATATATATATATATATATATATATATATATATATATATATATAATATATATATATATATATATATATATATATATATATATATATATATGTATATATTATACATATATATATATATATATATATATATATATATATATATATATATTATATATATATATATATATATATATATATATATATATATATATATATATATATATATATATATATATATATATATATATATATATATATATATATATATATA